TTTTAATTTATATTGCAAACCATTCCTTTCAAGCAACACAAGTGTAATTTCACCCAATAATCAAATGTATTTCAGCAATCTACAACAACTACTAAAAACTAGATGTTTACAAATAACAAAATGTGTTGCAGGGACCAGATATATTTAAAAAATATAGTTTTCCATTACTTTATTTTTATGTCTGGTTGTATGATTAGTTTTGATCTGCTTGACACTTACACTTGTTATTATTGACATATCTACTGTAGCTGTGTTATCTAATTTTACTTTTCATTGAGATTGTCTTTGTTCCCCTTTCGGTCTCCTGCATAATATTACTTTTAGCCAGTTAAAATAATGATTTATTGTGAATTAATTTAATTTCTGTTTTCTAAGCCAACTGAAGTGTGAAGCCAGTTTTCCTACTGTATGTAAGGGTTCAGGTAGTGAACGGTTCTGGTCAGCTCAAGGGAAATCAAACAAAAAAAGGTCAAACAGGGGAAACTACTTGTGGTAAACTCTGGCATTGAAACATCATCTCCAGAAGGGGTAAGTTACAGCAGCAATCTCATGGGGAACTGGGGATTTAGGACAGATGTTTATTTAAAAGGACAACCTGCACTGAAATCCTAGGGAGATCAGAGCTGTCTGAGTGAAATGAGTTTCAGGTTGGAACTGTCATGGTGGCTCCCAGTGAGACAAATGGGTTAATAGTGAGAAGCTCGTGATTCCATTTAAGATTCAGGGTGAGTCGCCAAGAATAAAAAAAATCTATGAAAGATATTTTTATATTGAGAACAAGTTAAACTCACATGAAATAGTGGCCTATTCTGGTAAGGTATGGAAGGTGACAGAGCATTGCTGGCCAAATAGAAAGTACCTAGTTGAGGATACTTCAACTGCTAAATTGTCAAACCATCGTTAAGGAAAAAGGGTTCAATTAATCAATGTTAGACCAGACATTACCTTAATTCTGATTAAACAGGGAGGTTAATGTGTGTAGTTGCCCCACATTCAGCTATCAACAAAATGAGGTCCATCACAAATGGGACCACCAATTGCCTAATTGCCTGAGGTTGGGATTAAACATGCACTAGTCTAATTTTTCATGCAAACAGTAACTCATGCTTTTCCAGTGTATTTGATGCCTTCTGTGAGGTGCTGAGATGCATAGAGAATGGTCAAATGGTTAATAGACCTGCTAGATGGTGTGCTGGAGGAGCATGTCTGCATCTCCTTCCCCCTGTTGCAGGTGTAGAAGTGGTTGATGGAGAGGTAACTCCTACAAAGGATCAGCAATTAATATATAATTAAACTACACTGTTCAAGTCTTGATGATAGACCATTCTAATTGTCCAGTTTAATTTATTAAATATCAAATTAAAAATATCTCTTTTTAAGAATTAAAAGCACAGTAGATCTGAAAATATAATGGAACAGAAGTGTTAGCAAGATAAAATAACTCTAGCTTTTCCATAATTTCCCAAAGTATGCAATTTGAGCAAATAGTGTATCTCAAAATTGAAAGAACATTTATAATTGGATCAGTGCCTTTGGGGGTTTATGCAGCTCCCAGTGAAGAGAGATATGCTGAAAGCATCTATCACTTTTACATAGAGTTTAATATAGACTTTTTCAGGAGGATTTTTCCATTCTACAAGATATTTATGAAGAAGATAAATTGTTTAGTCTGTGCTAAATCTATAGTCTGAGAATATCCTTAAGGCATGATTATTTACTTTGTCTTTTAATTAGTTTTCCAGACTTGCTACTAAATCTATTATGGAAAATAGTTTTAAACAATCTGGAGTTAAATTATTCACAAGATGTGGATTTGCTTTCGTGTTTTTATACATTCTTTATTAATAATAATTTCTCTATTATGGTTACACTGAATAGGACAAATTGGTAATGCTTGGTATAACTCCACACTATTGTTGACCCCCTGTTCTGCAGCCATGCGCCAGTGCCGGTATGTCTGCCACTTGGAGGAGAAAGATCAGGATCCTGATTGAGCACGTACTTCCGCTGTCGCAACTGAGGAGTTTTTCACTGTGACCCCCATCGATATGTAGAAACAGCACTCAGCGAGTCCAAAAAGGCCCCGATTCTCTCCTGCAGTGATGCAAGACTACAGTATGTAGGAAGTGTTGGCTGCTCTCCCCCATAGCATCAAGGCGCTTTGTGGTCAGTGTTGTCCACTGATGCTGTAGGAAGGGCTCCTGTACTATTGCTGGGAAAAAAAACAGTGCTGATACCAGATGACAGTGTGTCTAAGAGCTCTACAGGGTCTTGTTCTCGGGACCTTCCACATTATGTGTAAAAACATGTCACCTCCTAAGGGAACAGAGTACACTTCAGGGTGCGAGTGAGAACCCCTCGAAAATGTCTCTGAGTACTCAAATAAGTTCTATGGTTGAACACAATCAGAATATTTAGAGGTTACCTTCAAATAATTACAATCAATTTCCCAAGAACAGATGTTCAAACTGAAGATCTTAATAGATGAATATAGACTAAAGAGACCAATTTATTTTCAGAACTAATGCAGATAAAAGGATACCATAGCCGTGTGTCCCAGAAAAAAAAACCCATACGCTTGTATTGCCTAACAGAAATGGAGATTAAAAAATATGAATTAAAATGTGATTGTTTGGACATTTTGAGGCTGATAATTCAGTCCTAAGCTTGGGCAATTTCTTGAAGCTATTGGATGATGTTTATAATGACAGCACAACTGAGACTGGATATAACTGTAATTTTAAGTGTGCTTTGGGGCTTCTGGAATAGTGGTAGGAAAGTACTTTTCTGTGTTTCTTGCTACTGTTATTATCAGTGGACCTTCTAATTATTTCTGCTTGTTCCCCCATGTTTGTGGCCTTGCCATGACAGAGACAGTGTGGCTGTCAGCGCCCAAAATCCGGTGTCTAGATTAAAAAGGGTTAGTGGCAGGTGAGTGGGTGTTTTGGGTTTGTGTTTGAGGGATGTGACATTTGTTTGCGGCAGTGTTACTAAGGGGTAATATTCCTTCTTTTTGAGCAAAGCAAAAATTGCATTTACTCCTGAATTTATACAACTCGCTTTATAAATTCTACAATGCTTTTATCTTTTTAATCAGATTTTAGTTTTATTATAGTTTGCAATGAAGAAATTTAATCCATCTGTTTTAAAGAAGATAGCAGTTTTGCAGTAGATGGTATATTTTCATCATTTTAGATGAAAAATGATTATAAAGACTTATAAAGTTAAACAACTATGTAGATGTCATTTCTGGGTGAAATTCCTTTTTGGAGTACATGGGAAACAGATTTGGGGGCGGCACGGTGGTGCAATTGCTAGCATCACTGCTTGCAGTACTGGGGCTGTGGATTCGATTCCTGTGGTACTGTCTATGTAGAGTTTATCTCTCTGTGTTTGCATGGGTTTCCCCCCACAGTCCAAAGGCATACTGGTAGGTTAATTGGCTTCTGGGAAAATTGACTCCAAACAAATGTGTCTGTATGTGCCCTGCTGTTGACTGGCATCCTGTCCATGGTGTACCCCTGCTTGCACCCATTGCTTGGTGGGATAGACTCTGGTTCTCCAGACAACCTGATTTGGATAAAGCATTAAGAAAATGGATGGATGAATGGAAAACAGAATTGAATTGTGTTTAAACACACAAAGAGATGTGTGTTATGGTAATCACCAAGGTTTATATGACCAGATACAATCTTCTTAAAAATGAATGGTGAATTTACTTAAAATCAGGATGCTACATTAAAAACTATATGTAAAAAGGTGTTTTCTCTAAAATCTATCTCTTTGTGAGATATATCATGTTTAAAACTTTTCTTTAAAATTAAGCTCATCGTGCTCTACATGAACAACAGAAAAATTAAATACATTTTAATAACCAGGTTGCCCATATTATGTATTTGATTAAATGAGGTTGATTATACAAGATGAAACAAGCTTGATCACACAAACCATAACAATTGTCTTTCCCCTGTATATATTTTAGTATGTTTGTTGATATATTGATTCCAGAAAATTCAGGATTTAATCTAATTACCATGACACATTAAAACTACTCTAGTTTGTAGTGTTTTATGGTGTAAACTTTACTTCACCACATGAAAAAAAACATTTTTTTTTTCCAAGAAGATAAAAGTACAGATATTTTTATTAATTTTCCTTAGGCAATGTATCATCATTTTTTTTGTCTGTGCTTCAGATGCTAATATGAACCAGCTCTAGTAGGAGTTGCATGCCAGTGTTTTTACTCTTAAAAACAAAGAAGAATAGTTAATAAAACTGAAATTATTTTAGAATGAAGTACATATTCTTTCTGACAACCTACTATAAATCATAATTTACTTGGGAACTACTTTATACTTGATGTAAGAAGACTAAGAAACATTTAAAATAAACAGTCCACCATAACTTTATAACTCACATGGAAAAGCAAAGTTTAAGGTATTAGCAAAATTTATGGTTTAACTTAGTGATTTTGATTTAATGTGGTTGCAGCTGGGAACAATGTTGAATGTCATCTTATTTTTTCATTATAAAGGTTGTTGTGCTTTTATAACACAAAATTAAACATTCATTTCACAGCATATGGAACTGATCTTTTTGTTATGACCTCATTGGCATTATCAATGTTTTTTTACTTCAGGTTTCTTGCATGAAATTCCTTAAGTCACATTAAAATATCAAAAGCTAATGAACTTTTAATTAAAAAAATGTTATAAAACAAAAGTTATGGTACAATTCAAACTGTGACACAATTCATTGTTGAGGAATTAATAATTTTCTAATTTAATAGGAGTGTGACAGAGTTTATCCAGAAGATTCAGAAGAACAAAAACTAACAATTCATTATATCCAATTAAGTCTGAAATAAGCCTAATTGTAATATGGGTAAACCCACATTTATTAAGACTATTTTAAAAAATACATATCTTTAGTACAGTCATGAAAAACAACTGTTTTCTGAAAAATGTAAATTAAAACATCTGAACCTGTTAGACCTTCTTTACAATACAGTATTTTATTTTATCATCAGTTTTGCGAATTGTTATGGAATCGTCATTTTATTTTAGATGTGTCTTTTCACATTACAGCAACAACATGTAACACAGGCCTATTCAAAATTATTTTTTAAGTTTAGTTAAATGTTTTGTATAATGAGTATCAAAACATTACAAATCCTGTAATTTAGCTTCTAAAAAAGTGATCAAAACTCAAATTCTTATTCATTGAGTGATGCAGATTGAACTGAAAACATTTCAGTGATAACAATAATGATATTACAATTTGGGTATGACTTGGTTATAATAGATGTTTACGCCTTTAGTAACCATCTTTCTTACACTCTTCTCCATCTTAGTATTATCAAAATATCCTTTTTTGTATTCCAAAATTCTATTATAAAATACCTCTAAATATATAGATGTACAAATAGAAATATACTTTAATCATTCTTAAAGTGTTTCCTTTGTTTAAAGCTTTATGCCACATATTTGAAAGTCAGAATTAAACACAGAGCTTGCATCATGAGGATATATAAATGAATATAAACAAATACAGTTTTAAGAAGTCACATACTAATCATGAAATGGGTAATCCATACAAATAAGTCATTTCTAAAAAAATAATGAATCAAAAGTGCTTTTGTTGTTTGCTACAGCTCAACAAAATTCAGTTGTCTATTATAAAAGTTTTTCACGCCAGATTACAGATAAAGGTGTGATCTAAATGCACAATTGCAAAATAAGTGGACCTTTTCTGTCACTTCCGACATTTTACTTGGCACTAAACAATTTATCAGGTGCTAAATTTCTATTTACTTCTTTCTCCAAACCAGCTCCCTGTTTATTAATTTTTATTTGTTAATTTCTATTTTTGTTTTACTGTGTGTGATCTCAAGATTTTTGTTATTTTGCTGACTTTGCATTGGATATAAAACATCCCCTGAAGAGCAAAATCTGGCTGGCTGTTTAAGAAAGTGCAATATCAGTTTCTTCAGATACTGAGCCACCACAAGATTCAGCTTCTGTGAAAATGACTGCACACATTCATTTCCCTGAATGGAAGTGAGGATACAAATATCAGAGGACCACTAAGATGCAATTGCCAAGACACTGAAATAGTTCATTTTTTAGAATTATCTGGCAACAATACATGCCAGAAAGGGAAAACACAAGTGTGCATGTCAATCTTTGTTTTTATGGCTTAAAAAAGAATATGACATGAGATATTTTTCCTAATGGTCTTTCGTAAATTTCCTCCTTTCTTGATATCCCAAAGAATTATTTCAGTAGCGCTGTAAACAGTTCATTCCCTCCTGGAGGTTTTCAGTAGTCTTGCAGAATGAGGTTTATATTTCCCTTTTATGCTTAGAAAGAATTTATGATAAATTCCAAAATTAGGACTTCATATTTCGATTGCTTTTGTTGAGTTCCCCAAGTTGTTTCTTGTTCCAAATGTGAATTATTCAGAAGCAAAAATGTTTGATTTAACCCAGGTGTCATTGACAACTTCAGGGGAAACTGAACTTGAATTTTCAGCATTCTTAATGTGTAAGTTTGTGGCTATAAGATCGTAGACACTTTGCAGCAGATGACTCCAAAACTCTTCTTCTTCAAGAGGGATTTCTGGTGCTTGGTGGAAACATCGGGAGTAGCTGCCAAATTAAAAGTGGCTTGCAAATGTAATGATGAAGTATCAAATTGAACAAAATTTACTGACGTGTCTCCAAATATTGTTTTGCCTTTGAGTCAGAAGGAGCTGTAGGGACAGAAGAAAAACACAGAATGACATTAGTAGTGTGACAACGAGAAATTAGGATCCAATTGTGAATCTGCAACAAGTAGTTCAGCACTTGAAAAGCAAGAAATCAAACACCTTTTTTTGTGCATGCACAAAAGACGTACAAGAGAACAAATGTACAAAAGTACAAATACCTAACATTTATTTGTTGAAAATTCTCACTGTGCTCACCAAACTCATCAAACTTATATGAGATGCACTGCTGCAGCAACATTAATATCTTTCCTATTCTGACGTTTTTTTTAGTCTGGTTTTTAAGTTTTTTCTTCAGCATGTGAAATGTTTGCTCAATTGTATTTAATTAACTTGGACAGGAAATGATTTCACCACTTTTTGCATGAGGTCAAAGTGGCTGCAGCAAAGAATTACAAATAAACAAAGAGATTGGCACATTTAATACATTTCAGACTACATGCTGTTACTGTCTCCTCAAAAGGGATGCACAACCAAATACAGACATTTTCACTCTGAAATGTACTTTAAGTAATTGTGCCTCTATGCTTATGGTCACTTGAAATCAATGGGGTGATCACAAAGTATGTTTCTAATCTAATATGGCCAGATGCATGCATGAAATGACCTCAGAATAAAACATATATTGTACTTATCATATCATATTAAGATGATCACAAATTCACATGTGTGACCGTAAAAACAATGGTAACTAAAAACTATTGTGGTAAATACTGCACTTTGCTGCCCTGTGCATGACACCAGAAAGAATGCTCTGTGACTGTGTAAGATAAGCCGTCCTACACTGAATAATTGCAGCCCACTGATAACACAAATACTACATGTGGAAATTTAGCTAACCTATTTTAAGTGAATGGTTAGATAGTGAATGTCCATGGCTTTTTTAAACAACACTTTATATTAGGATTGTGTATAGCCAATCCCATCTTGCACTGATAGCCTTAATATTAATATATATAAAAAGACATCTGTGTGGCAAAGATGCCAGAAAAGTAATTTCTTCATTTGGCACAATCCAATGTGTACATCAGAATAATATAAAATGGATTCAAAGAAATAAAAAATCTTTATGTAAAATGATTTAATATATATTGTTGAGATTCTGATTTCATTTTCTTTTAATGTTAAAGTGTGTGGATTCAGGGTTTGTTTTAGAAAGGCAAGTGCTTTCTATTACCATACATATTTACTTATAGTGCTTCCTGAATATCAGGAGGTTTATTCTTTGGCTGTTATGAATTTGCTGCTCTGACACACTCAAGAGATTATATTTCATCTTCTTATATATGACCGGATTGTGTTTGTTTGATCATCTTCTAAATATAGACTCCAATTATTACGCTGCTACTCAATTAGGAATCATCAGCTGGAATTCACTTTTCTAGAAATCACCTGCACAAACCAAAGGAATACTTAAGCATTCTTTGAAGTATAGTGTTTCAGAATGATCATGTTTTTTATAACAATCTGACAAATTCATGTGCTTTTCATTCAGTTTTGTACCAAACCCATCTCCAGTTTGCAGGAATGGTAAAATCTTGGTTAAAACCAACTATCTTCAAGACTTAATTCTGTATTCTGGACAGTCAAATCTGAACCATTTTCATTTGTATATAGACATTTGTACTCACAGAAGTACATATTATAATGTAATGCATAATCATCCATTCTTGCAATCATACAATGATGACATTTCTTTATGTAACATTGAAATAACATATCTTATTAATAGTTAGGGTGCTAATGCTCAACCAATGAGAACCTGAATAGTAGTGGTCAGAATAGTTAGGGAAATTCTTTATTCATACTATCCTGGTCCTTGGTAAGCCTGGCACAATCTGGTATTTAAAAGTACTTCTGATTTTGAAATTCTCGTGTTTATCTCTGTTTTTCAGCAATTTCTAGATGGTGAAATTTTTCATTTTGTAAAATTAAGTAGTAGCTGTGGCAATAAATATTAAGAAGCTTGTTTCTGTATTCATACTACTATATATATATATTCACATCTTGTTGAATTATTATTCATCTATTTTCTAACTGCTTCATGCGATTCCATTTTAGGACATACTTAGACAAACACAGATATGCACACACTCACACTAAGGCCAATTTTCCAATTAATTAAATTAAATTAACTGGAAAATTGGTAAATTAATTAATTAAAGTGTGTAGTGTGCTCTCACGAGGCACCAGTTCTGTAGGGTTTGGGCATTTACGGGGACAATTATTTATTGTAGCCGCAAATCACAAAATGATTCTTTTGATGGCCTTAGAATCCAACCATGCGATATAACTCAAACAACGCACACACACAGGTACTAATACACAAGAACACATTTATTAATACACAGAATATGCATGTAAACCTAACAGATCTTATCGTGAGGGTTATCAGAATACAAAAGATATATATTCAGTCAGTTACGAAGATTTACATATATCAAGAGGACATACGCTCGGTATATCATTAATTTAGACCGTTTCGTAAATGAACTTGGTTATAACTTCTACATTGGATACTCAAAACAAGTACATAACTCTTAGGAATTAAATTGATATCAACTGGTTGGGATAACAATTGAATTCTCGAGCAGTAATGCAGTGAAGTTGAATACTCATCCAATCTATGGGGATTCAGATCTCCTGCAGGCACAAAGAAGCAGTTGCAGGCTTCTAAGCTGTCCAATCCGTGCTCTCTGGCTCCGTGCCAGGCTGTGCTGTGCGGCTTGTGACGGTGCGCTGTTGATGCTCTGCGCTGCTTTCTGAAGACCAGCTAGTTAGTTTTGGCTGAAACTAGCAAGAGTTTGTGCATAGGAGAAAAGATGACTGTGGGTCCCAGCAAGTCAGGAAGAGGACCAGTTCGTTCCTGATGAAGCGCTAGTTCTGAATAGTGATTCAGCTGTCCACAGTTCCGACCTGTTCACGAGGCTTGCTGCTGATGCTAACCTCGGGTGGATCCTCTGGTTACTCGTGGCAACCTCCGTTCTAGACTCTTAGAACAAAGGAAAGTTCTGGCACTCGGACACACTGGCCGTTCCGTGGTTGTCCAGGCTGAGTCTCAGGATGGTCAGGAGGTGCGCTGCGAGAATGTCCTGCCCTTGGGAGCCTTTCTGCTCCTGGGCCGTCCTGCCCTGGAATTGTCTCGCACCCCTGGAATTCTCCTTAGAATTCTCCTACTGGAATAGTCCTTAGAATAGTCTCTCAGGCCCTCTGTGTTGCCTGTTTTTACCTGGAGGAACTTCAGCTCGTTGATTGGCTGAAAGTTCCATGGGCATCAGAGTCCCACTTGGGTTACTCGGCCCTACCAGTACCTGATTGGTTGATCAAGGTGAGATATGAGTCACTTACTCCTGATACTTAGGAATGCAGTCCAGATGTCCATCTGGCACTCCCTAGACAGATAAGCGCCAATGGATGACCATTGGTCATGATAGCCAGGCTTAGCTAAGTGCATCCCCATTTGGGAGCTGTCCCTTAACAAAAGAAAACATCTTTAAATCAGCCTGCATGAATAGCTTCTTTGTGGCTGCACCACAGAGATGAAGAGAGAGATGGGGCCTCATTTGGGAAAGCACAGCAACACTTAATTCTGTCTTATTAACAAGCATTGCCGCTACAACTGTGAGCGAAAACCCACGTGAACACAAGGACAACATACAGACTCAATATACTGTATACAGCACCCCAAGTCCAGAGTTGAAAGCAGGGCCCCAGTAGTTCAAGGCAGGAATGCTAAGCACTTTTTCATCGAGCTCCCCCTGTATCATTCATCTAAACTGAAATTCAAGACCATAAATTTGTTTAGTAAACTCCATTATTTCATTATTTGTCTATGCTTTATTAAATAAATACTTAAGAACATCATTATTTTAAAAAATGCTATACATATATCCTAAAAATAAATTGTGCTTTTATTATGTAGGAAATGTGTCATTTTGTTTGGGCTTTGATGATACATAGAAGCAAATCAGTATCTTAGATAAGACTGTTCCAAGTGAGTGTTGTATTCATTAGTTGAAAGATGCATTAACTCAAGGATTTCATTTTAAATGGGTTACACATATAGAACGAGCAGAAAATACTTTGCAGGCAGCAATTATTTACCCTCCTCTTATTTGGTAATATGCAGATGACACTTTGACTTCCTAAGCTCAGATTAAAAGGATTTTACAAATAATGCTTAGCTCTTCTCTAATGAAAATGTGAGACTAGGTTTTATGATTGCTAAAAGCACCACAAAGCTCGATTAAAAACTTGTTAAGCCCTGTTCCTTTAAGTGCCTACCTCATATAAACCTTGTTTAATGCAGAAATACAACATTATTTGTATCATAATTATTGTTACCGCATGTTGTCCACAATATTCTTTAAAAATGTTTGTTAGTTATCTGAAGTGTGAGAAAATACAGTAGGGTCTTGACATATGTGAATTTAAAATTCAGAATTCACTTATTCGGGATTTTGTTTGACCAATGGTATTTTATATGGAAGAAGAGCAGAGCAGGATTAAACTGAGCTAAAGGCTGTTAACTACAACTTTCAAATAA